GGGGTCTTTGTTAACAGTGTTAGAGCTACCTGTTCAGTCTAAAAACGTGTTAATTTATCTAGATGGGGAAGCGGGTGTGTGAACATGAGTGGGCGTAAGAGGACAACTTTGGGGGATTGGTTCTCTACTCTTTGTGGGACCCAGAGATTAAACTCAAATATGAGGGCTTAGCAGTACCTACCTTTACGGTCTGAGCTGTCTCACTAGCCTCTCTATGAACTCTTTGAACAGATTTCTTTCCCCTGTTCACCTCATTTCAGCCCTGTCTATAAGGCTTTCTTGTGAATTAAGTATTGCCATATTTCAACATCAGCTGTTAAATTCAAGATCCATATCCTAACGCAGTGGAGGGTCTGTCTCTTTAAAGGACAGGTGCGAGGACTGAAGGGACTGAAGCTCTTGGCTACTTGCACTCTGGTTCCTGTAGGAGCACATGTTGCACAGTGCCCGCATAGTGCCATTCGTGAGGATGGACCCTTTACTATTGCTTGACAATCACTCTAAGCTGATCTGTGTGGGCCAGCTGGCTGAAAACAGGAAGAGAATATGCAAGTAGAACACATCAGAGCTCTTAGCTGGGAGGGATAGTAAAAGAACCACTTCTTTGCAGAGTTGAAATAAAGGAGCGTGATGAACTAGCAATGTGACCATTTAAACCTCTCTTAACCAATTAACTAGAGCTGTGGTGAAAGAATTTGAAGAAAGAAGAAATGGTTCTAGCAGTATTGGTTTTTTAGAGGTTCCATAATTATGAAATAGACAATAATGTATTTAGAAAACACTGAGGGGAAGACTAACTTATACCACATTTTCTTAAATACCTAAAACCACATTCATGTTAAACTAAAAAAATCATCTTTACAAATGAACAAAACTGCATAGGACAAGGCTGAGGTATTCTCCACGGGATGGCATATTTGTTCACTATTTTATCTGTTCATCACAAAGAAACCCACTCATTTAGTTCCTGTCACAGGGCTTCTCAGTAACCACTGTAGAAAACACAAATGACTCCCTTACATTCATGTTCTATTCTTAAGAAGTTAATATTTTAGTGGGGTTGATTATGATGGACATAAATAATACAAAACCAAACATGGTGAGAACCATAATATAGATTCTATGGGTATGATTGGCTATACAGCATTTAGATGGGCACCATCTGTTTTGTATGTGCATATTATTAACTATGTCTCACTGAGGAGACAAAATATTGGTTGATGCCAGTTGATATATGTGTGTATAAATAAAAAAATGAAAGGACCATCTGAATATATAATTTATATTGAAAAGCCAGCATTATGGTTGGTACCAAAAAACACTCAAGATGACAGATGTGATATTTTTGAAAAAGCAAGTAACTGGCATTGCACATAATAATAGTGATAAACCACAGTAAGTTAAAACAATTTTGAGCCATAAAAGAAACCATAAAGAAAAGCTGTAATAAGACATTGCTTTAAGCCAGTTTGAGTTTTGGGTTTAATTACCTCACATTTGTGTCCATAAAAATCAGCTTCCACAACCTGTTTTTATTGGACAGGATTCAGTGAATGTTCCTGTAATCCTGTAATGTCAGTATTTGAGCATGAACATGAGTACTCCAAGACAGTAAGTAGTCTTCAAATGGAGGTACTTGTGCCCCCAAGGTACACAAACTGTGCAGAGCTGCATGGGGAGCTTAAAGGAAATCAATGTCTGCATTCACATTTCCTATCTACACTCTGCAAATCTCATCTGTCTGATAAATGCTTTGCCCAGTGAGCCCTCTCTTTCCAACAATCCTTTCAACATAGCCTTCTTGCTTGGCAAACTCTTACCAAGGGACCTTTCCCAGGCTACTAGAACTTGCTACAGAAAGTCCCAAGAGAGCACAGGAGCAGGAGCAGCTTAAGAAACAGCCCCTGGATAGACAGCAGAGTTTATCCTCATCTGAGGACACTGGGGACAGCTCAGGAGAAATTCCTCCACAGCCATATTTTAGAAATCAGACTGTCTACCAAGGAATGATCTGACTGTCTAGTTTGTAAATGGGAACTTTTAGATTTAATGGCAGGGAGTACTTCTGTAACTGTTTAAAACTTGAATTTTTAGAAAATGTGGGTGCTGGTCTACAGAGCTAGTTCCAGGACAGGCTCCAAAGCCACAGAGAAACCCTGTCTCGAAAAACCAAAAAAAAAAAAAGTGGGTGCTAAAAGAACAAATAGGTTAAAATCACTGTCTGTATTATGTATGTATGCATGTAAACATAACACATGTATTTGTTCACAAACAATGGCCAGAGACATCTTTCCTTCAGCTCCACAGTTTCCAATTCAAGAGTTTCACTGATAGATATAGTGTGTCTGGATCAGTCCCAGGATGTGGTCTGCAGTTCTACTGGGGAGACATCACAGGTTCTGGGTCTCCTGACCTTCCTGATACAAGTCTCCCACAACTAGGAGAAATCTGACATTACATAATAAAGTCCAAGGCCAGGAGACTACAGTCATCTGGAAGCTAGTTATAATGAAAATTGTGAGGTTCACTCCAGACCCACAGAATTAGAATCTGTCCTTTAACAAGATTTCCAGGTGATTCAAATGCACATTAAAATGGGAAGAGCAGTGGTGTAAAAAACAGGCCTACGTCTGCAGGGAGGATACTGTCACTAGGTGTATATGACCTCAGGTTGGAGCAAATGCACTGCAGTCATCGCTTTTATATGCTTACTTTGGAGGTGGAGCTTAGAGAGATGGTGATGTCAGCCAGTTTATAAAACCAGGAAAGGAAGGGAGGGAAGCAGAAAAAATATATAGCTCAATAAAAACAATTAAAAGTAAAAAAAAAAAAAAAGGAACAAGAGCATGACACGTATCATGCTGAAAACACTGAGCAAAATAAAACAACTGAAAGTTTTCCAATACTGTTTTGCTTGTTACTATACTGGCAGAATTCAGTTATTCCATTTTATGGCTCTCCTATTTTAAAAAAAAAATCTTCCCTTTCTTCTATTCTAAGAAAACCTACCCCCTTCTCAGGAAAAGGGGACAGCACATGCTCTTATTTAAAAAGCTAAGAAGAAAGTTTCAGGAGTTTAGATGAAGTTGTTCTCCACTAAAGGAAGCACTGAGCTTCAGCAATGACTTGTTCCCACCATCAAGAGAGAATTGAAAGCTGAGGTATGAGGAAAAAGCCCTTCTGTCTCATTAGCACATTAGTTTTACCCCAGGTTCCTCCATTGGGTTGCAAAGCTCTACAACCACCAGGAAGAAAGTGCCATGTTTCTCTTCTCAGCTCCCAGGTGTCTCAAGCAGGGAGTGAGGAGAGACAAGAGTCAGGAAGCCTCTTGCCAAGACCACAGATGAGGTCACCAGTAGCCCTGCCCCGCCCCAGCTCCCTGCCCAGTAGTTTCTGAACTTTACATGTCAGCCTTTTGTCAAGTCCTCAAAACAGGACAAACTAAAAGGAGATTCTGTCATCCAAAAGTTTAATAATTCTTACACTATGAGGTTTTTCCTTCCTGTGTGGTATAATTACAGAGAGAACAGATTAGGATCTCATAAAGAAGACTTTATTCCCCAGACTGTCCCAAATTTGTTTCTTTAAAAAATGTTCTCTCAGACTCTTAATTTTAAGTGTTCTGGTGCAAGGATAAGAGACAACAGATTGGTTAATTAACAAAGAGAAAAAGATTTATTATGCCAGGCATGGTAAAGTACTATAATCCAAAAGGAGGCAAAAAAGACCACATGTTCAAATCCAGCCTCAAGAGGACAAGTTAGAAGCCAGCCTTGGGTGCACAGGGAGACCCCATCTCAACAATACATAATTAGATGGGCAGATGATAACAGGTTTATCAACACATTATGAACTCTACAAGATTGATTAGAAAGCACATATTTACATTCTGAAGCAAGCCGAGTCCTTTTCAGGGATTCCATTCTGTTAGTTTCTGCACAATGCTGCAGAGCTGCAATTACATCCTCTATAATTAGCCCGTTCCCAGTATAATTAAGAGACTCACAAGTTTAAAACTGTACCTTCTTTACAGAGGTAACCAAGTGCATGGAACAGACCTTTTATTCTGCATGTAAAATATCCTCCTGTTATGAATGATAATTTTAAATAAAGAAAAAATAGTATGTTGAAATAGTCATTTAAGAGGAATTTACTATGTTCCTGCTAACAGTTCCTAGCCCTGGATTTTTATCACCAAGCTCTTTGCTATCAAACTCCTTGTTCTTCCCTATATTATGGCGCTCCAAACCTTAACTCCGTTGCCTCTTAGTACCCCCTCTTAAATGCCTACTCTTAAGTGAGTAGGCAGATAAAGGCACAGGTGAAGTGGTTCCAAAGATGCTATCTTATTAGTGCAAACCAAAGTTTTAATACACAAAGAGATCCATCTGTGCTGTGTATAACTTCTAGACAAACTGAATGAAATGCTATCTTAACTAATAACCAAGGCGTTAAACAGTAACTAGTAATATATCACATACACAATGGCTCAAGCAAGCTACTTGATACAGAACAAGAACTAGTAATTTAAAAAGCACCATGGCAACATTTATCAAATGTTTACCAAATTCCAGGATGGCAATAATGTTAGATGAATTGCCTCACTTTCATAGAAAGCCCCTAAGATAATACGAGGAAGGAGAACTATGCAGGCTAATTAGCTGGTATGGGCAGGTGTAGCTTTAAAACCCAAGTTGAACTGAAATCTCAAGTCTGTATCCATCTTTACAGCCTTCAGGTTCCTGATTACGTTACACATACAGTTTAAAACAAACATTATAGTCTGTCCTCTTCTAAGGCTTCCAGTGAACTTCAATGCTAGTCAAATTTTAAAGGGGGGGCAGAGTATCAATTTTTTCTTTAAAATAAAGATTCTCCTTCCTCATCGAATTCAGAAACTTCTCTGGATGTTATCTATGAACTGATACAGTTATTTTAAATTAATAACAGCTGAAGAATTACTAAAGCACTAACTTCATGTGTTCTTGTATATTTCAGATTAAAGAAGCTAATTGATCAAGAAACTGAGTCCCAGGAGAGGAAGGTGCAAGAAAAGGAGAAGAGGATCAAGGCTCTGAAAGAAGAGCTGACCAAGCTGAAGTCTTTTGCTTTGATGGTGGTGGATGAACAACAAAGACTTACAGCTCAGCTTGCCCTTCAAAGACAGACAATCCAAGACCTGACCACAAGGGCAAAGGAAACACATGCTAAACTAGCCCTTGCTGAAGCCAGAGCTCAGGAAGAAGAGCAGAAAGCAACCAGGCTAGAAAAAGAACTGCAAACACAGACCACAGCATTTCACCAGAACCAAGACAAAATTATGGCGAAGCTCACCAACGAGGACAGTCAAAATCACCAACTCCGACAAAAGCTGGCAGCGCTCAGCCGACAAATTGATGAGTTAGAAGAGACCAACAGGTCTTTAAGAAAAGCCGAAGAGGAGCTGCAAGATATAAAAGAAAAGATCAACAAGGGAGAATATGGAAACACTGGCATCATGGCTGAAGTGGATGAACTCAGGAAGCGTGTGCTGGATATGGAGGGGAAAGATGAGGAGCTCATAAAAATGGAGGAGCAGTGCAGAGATCTCAATAAGAGGCTAGAGAAAGAGGCAGCACAGAGTAAAGACTTCAAACTAGAGGTTGAAAAACTTAGTAAAAGGATTACGGCTCTGGAAAAATTAGAAGATGCTTTAGACAAAAGCAAACAAGAATGCTACTCTCTGAAATGCAATTTAGAAAAAGAAAAGATGACCACAAAGCAGCTGGCTGAAGAACTGGAGAGTTTAAACGCCAGGATCAAAGAGCTAGAAGCCATTGAAAGTCGGCTGGAAAAGACAGAATTCACCCTAAAGGATGATTTAACTAAACTGAAAACATTAACTGTAATGCTTGTAGATGAACGCAAAACAATGAGCGAAAAATTAAAGCAAACTGAAGATAAGTTACAAACCACTGCCTCTCAGCTCCAGGCAGAGCAAAGTAAAGTGACAACAGTGACTGAGAAGTTAATTGAGGAAACTAAAAGGGCACTCAAGTCCAAAACTGATGCAGAAGAGAAGATGTGCAGTGTAACCAAGGAGAGAGATGATCTCAGAAATAAACTCAAAGCAGAAGAAGAAAAAGGACATGATCTATTGTCCAAAGTGAATATATTAAAAAATAGGCTTCAATCACTGGAAGCAATTGAGAAAGATTTTGTAAAAAACAAATTAAATCAAGACTCCAGTAAGTACACAACAGCATTACACCAAGAAAACAATAAGATTAAAGAGCTCTCTCAAGAAGTGGAAAGGCTGAAGCTGAAGCTAAAGGACATGAAAGCCATTGAAGATGACCTCATGAAAACAGAAGTTGAGTACGAGACCTTAGAACGGAAGTACGCTAACGAGAGGGACAAGGCTCAATTTCTGTCTGAAGAGCTGGAACATGTTAAAATGGAACTTGCCAAGTACAAGTTAGCAGAAAAGACAGAATCCAGCCATGAGCAATGGCTTTTCAAGAGGCTCCAAGAAGAAGAGGCAAAGTCAGGCCATCTGTCAAGAGAAGTGGATGCATTAAAAGAGAAAATTCATGAGTACATAGCAACAGAGGACCTAATATGTCACCTCCAGGGAGACTACTCAGTCCTGCAAAAGAAACTAAACCAACAAGAAAACAGGAACAGAGATTTAGGAAGAGAGATTGAAACCCTTACTAAAGAGTTAGAAAGGTATCGGCATTTTAATAAGAGCCTCCGACCTAATCTCAATGGAAGAAGAATCTCTGACCCTCAAGTATTTTCTAAAGAAGTTCAAACAGAAGTAGTAGACAATGAGCCACCAGACTACAAGAGCCTCATCCCTCTAGAACGAGCAGTCATCAATGGTCAGTTATATGAGGAGAGTGAGGACCAAGATGAGGACTCTAATGAGGAATCTGTGCTGTCCTTCAAATGCAATCCATCAACTCCCCTTCCTATGAACAGGAAACTATGGATTCCTTGGATGAAATCCAAGGAGGGCCACCCCCAGAATGGAAAAATACAAACTAAGTCCAATGGTAACTTTGTGCAACCTGGAGATCTAGTCCTAAGTCACACTCCTGGGCAGCCTCTTCACATAAAGGTAACTCCAGACCATGCCCAAAATACAGCCACTCTTGAAATCACAAGTCCAACCACAGAGAGTCCTCACTCGTACACCAGCACAGCAGTGATACCAAACTGTGGCACCCCAAAGCAAAGGATTACCATTCTCCAAAATGCCTCCATAACACCAGTGAAGTCCAAAACCGCTACGGAAAGTCTTGTGAACTTGGAGCAAAGTATGCCCCCAGTTACCATGGCAACCTTTGCCAGAGCACAGACCCCAGAGTCCTGTGGTTCTGTAACTCCGGAACGGACAATGTCACCTATTCAGGTTTTGGCTATGGCTGGTTCAGCTAGTTCTCCTGAGCAGGGTCGCTCCCCAGAGCCAATAGAAATCGGTGCCAAGCACGCAATTTTCAGAGTCTCACCAGACCGGCAGTCATCATGGCAGTTTCAACGTTCAAACAGTAACAGTTCAAGTGTGATAACTACTGAGGATAATAAAATCCACATTCACTTAGGAAGTCCTTACATGCAAGCTGTCGCCAGCCCCGTGAGACCTGCCAGCCCCTCAGCACCCCTGCAGGATAACAGAACTCAAGGCTTAACTAATGGGGCACTAAACAAAACAACCAATAAAGTCACCAGCAGTATTACTATTACACCAACAGCCACACCTCTTCCTCGACAATCACAAATTACAGTAAGTAATATATATAACTGACCACCCTCACCCTCATCTAGTTCATACTGATACTCTTGCAAGGAACTCAGTCCTTTTTTAATCATCCCTCCAAATTCCCTAAAAGAATGACTAAACGTGTACTTTGGGAAGATTTGTGCATGGACTATACAAGAGTAGCTGGAACTAACTACGTGTTGCCTGCATAGTCATCGAGTGTGCACTTACTGTATATCTTTTCATTTACATACCTGTATGGAAAATATTTAGTCTGCACTTGTATAAATACATTTTATGTATTTCATTTTCCATAACTCACTTTAATTTGACTGCAACTTGTCTTGGTGAATTACTTAACATGATAAAACAGTAAATAGTTTGTTACTTTTGTCATTGCTTGCTGAATTTCCATTTGATCATTTTGTTATATATCTGCATGTACGACATCATTTTATTTTCTGCTTATAATGCCCATTAATTCTCCTTAAAAAAACAAGCAGAACATATTTGTCAATATATAGTTCTTGTCACATATTAGAGAAGGCGAGAGTGGTTTAAATAAATAAAAATTTCATCTCCACGACTTAAAATGAACCAAAATAATTATGGCAAGCTTAATGCCATTCTTGAAATGTATCTTAATATTCCTGGTGCTCAACGGTGGGCTATTAGGAAGTCAGTAAATGTTTACAGATAACAGGATAAAGTAATATCAAATAATTTGTTATTAGTGAGTACATATATAAGCTAATGTTAAAAGCTTGGGAATGTGACAGGAAGCCAGAAAGCACATTTGGAAATACAAGGTTACCTTGACTATCAAGGATTGACTACATTTCTCCAACAGACTGTAATTCCCATAAATCATATATTACATCTAAATCTGGAGTCAGCCACTATGACATAAACTTCTGAGCACTCTGCTTCAAAACAAAAGTGTCATTCTTGTTCTGTGTTATTTGGTTCCCAAAACAGTTTGGATTACTTAATGTGGGTGCTGCCCTACCCTGCTTGTGAGTAAGGCTACAATCAGAAACATACAATTTATATTTCTGAAAGTCCTCTCAAGAAGCAAATAAAAGCTGCAGATAGTTAGGAGCACAAGTTTTAAGACCTTTTAAAAAATAATCATGCTGCATGGTAGCAGAGGCCATGTGATACTGTGATTTCTTCTGTGGGTGTTATGCCATTCCTAGCGTACGTGAAGAAACTTAGCCAAGCCTCCTAGACTATGGCTGCTCTGAGGACCAGCCTTCAGCAGCCTGGGGACTGAGGGGGTCAGTTCAAGGATTAGTTGAGGATTAGTTCATGGAGTCAGTGAACTAATCACTCAAATTGGCTTTTCTATCTGAGGGAGTAAAACTTAATTCTCTGGGGGCAGCAAATGGGGCAAAACTTAACTCCCTGGGGCTGGCAAAAGAGGGAAACACACACATACATCTCAAACATGTTAGGATCCCACCTGAGTGCTGATGGATGGCAAGCCTTCAGCAGGTTAGAGGAAATGAAGAAGAGACGCAGAGCAGGTGACTACTGGACAGACAAACAGATACATGAGGATTTTTCTAAGGGCCAAAGTTTCGTTCTTCATTTTATTATTTTGTTGTTTGTTCTACTCTATTTTTTTTTCTGTTCTGTTCTTCTACTCAGATGTTTCCCTCTGTCTCTCTTGATGTCTTCCTTCTAACTAACTTTACTTTTTTCTTTATGGTTTATATATCCCAGCAAAATCTTTCAAGTAGTATAAAAATTAAATGTGGATACATTCTATTTTTTAAGTCAACGATTACAACAAATACAAGTTAAAAAAGCATGATTTCCATATCCCTTACATGATTAAATATTTTACATATTTCACATGAAAAACAAATTGTACCAAGAATACATACATTTATGTCCAAGCAACTTGTTATAGATTAACAAAGTATAAGCAAGCAAGGTATTTTTCTCAGTTAGTTCTTTTGCTGGCAGACTGCATTTAGCAAAGAAAGGATCACTATTATTTATCTCAAAAGATAATCTTATAAAGAAAAATCTTAAAAGAAATCTAAACTTTTATATATGAAAAACCACCAGTTAGTTCTACTTTAAATACTCAAAGTATATACATACCAACTTATCAGTTTTTATATCAGGAAGCTGAAGGCAGAAATGGGTACAAGGAATTATTCATCACCTTTGATTACCAATCCACTCTAGCAAGAAAGACATGTTAGACAACAATGGCCAGGCTATCATTATTCTTATTTTTTGACCTCTGAGTCCCTCACTCAACTATGTGCCTTTCTAAACTTTAAACTGTTCCCCAAGATTTTCTAACTCAAAGCCATGAACAATAACATCTTAACCTAACCTTACTAACAATTCTACATGTGTAAATTCTTTTTAAGGGTGGTGGTAGAATCATTACAAAGCTTGGAAAAAGTCAATCACTATTATTTTAAGTACCTGTAACACTGCCCAGTGAGGGGCAATAAGCCCCCCCCCCTAAAGCTTTCATACAACCCACAGATTATGAGGGATGTGGTGACCACAAAGGCAACAATCAGAGCTATGCTCAGTAACAGCATGAGGTCCTCAGGACATATAGTCCTTGGGGCTTTGCCTCTCCAAGGCTCACTCGAGTGTGTCTTTGCCAAACATCAAGTCATGTTCCAGGAGTTCTAATGCTGCCTGTTGGTCCTCTTACATGGCCCCCAATAGACACTGCGACACCTAACTCCTAGTAGCCCTTGAGAATGCTCCATATCTCTGAGCGGAGAATATAGCCTTGAAAGGAACATTTTAAACTACAAACCGAGTTCCCAAGTGACATTCTAAAAGGATGACTTCAAAGCAGCTAATCGGCACTCCCCTTTCCATTTACTCTCCACACTCTTCACTGTTAATTTAGTGTGCTCAATTTTATTGCCAGTTCCTGATTTTAAATGAAGTTCATCTAGACATTCAGGCACACTGAGAAGATCTTTCAAAAGTAAAAGGTAGCTTCCTTTCCCCTGTAAAATCAATTTTATTATGCAAAGCAAGGATCTGTTGACAGAAACACTTCCATGGTGATGGACTGCAACACCACGGCTGTGGGCTTGCATCATCATAAGTAAATGTGGATGAAAGCTGAGGCTGATGATGAATGAGAAAGCTTCTGTTTAAACACATTTGTCTTGGGAATCGGCAGAGACCCAACTGTATTACAAAATACATGATGGTCTAACTGTTTTCAAAGCTATTTTTAAGTCAAGCTGGGCTAGAACTCTAAAAGAAACTACACAGATCACTGCAGTCCTCAAAGAAGACAATGTAAAGAGAGAGCTACAAGAGCTCCTTGTATAGCCACTAAACCAGAGAGGCACATGTGATCTCTGAACGGTATCAATCAACTAAACACAGATTATAAACAGAAACTAGGAAGAATTCAAGAACAGTCTTTCTGGTTTTGTTACATAAAGGCATAGACAGAACACTTATTTTCAAAGCACTGGGGAAGGAGACAGAGAGGACCAAAAGGGGGTTCTTCTCATCATCCATGTGAACGACCTAAGCAATCCGGGGAGGGAGAACCACTCTTGACATACTGTAACTATCAAGAGTTTGGAAGTTCTAGATGGCTATCAGCCCAACTAGATACAAGGATTCCTTCTTTTTTTTTTTTAATTTTTTATGTGATCCATAGCAATTCTTTGCGATAACAAAAGCCCTATGTGCTCTACGATTACAATGCACAATCATCATTTTATCATCTGTTGCTGATCTCAACTATAAACAGGCCTCCTGGGTGGTTAATCGTTGACTACAAATTTGCAGAAACTCTAAGGATTCTCTTTTTTAGAAGAGTGAAAATAACTAACACATAAACATCAAAATTAACTTTGGTAGCTTCTCATTAGTAAACCAAATGCAGTTTATTAGAAATGTCACTACTTGCTATCTAAAGTTAAAGGATTCTTTTTCTATAACATTATAGATAGATTAGATTAGATTAGATAGATAGATAGATAGATAGATAGATAGATAGATAGATAGATAGATAAAATGAATCCTTGGCTTTAATTTTAAGTTTCATTTTTTTAAATATTTATTTATTTATTTTTTATGTATACAATATTCTGTCTGTGTGTATGCCTGCAGGCCAGAAGAGGGTACCAGACCCCATTACAGATGGTTGTGAGCCACCATGTGGTTTCTGAGAATTGAACTCAGGACCTTTGGAAGAGCAGGCAATGCTCTTAACCTCTGAGCCATCTCTCCAGCCCTAATTTTAAGTTTCTTAAACACTGTATGTATCTGTGATAGACATACATTTGTGTGCAAAAGTAGAGAGGAAAACAGAGTTTATGAGTGAGATTACATAATTTTCTTTCATTCCTTTACTTAGACATGCCCCCACACCCAGGAGAGTAAAGACAGTGATGCTGGAAAAGCTTCATATGAAATATGTGGAGACAGAGGGACGCACTGTCCCATGAGGGGTGACTAAAGATTGTTCTTTTTGATTTTGATGATCATTTTCTTAATGTTGTGTGTACCCGTGTCTCTGTGTGGATATGGGCATGCAGTGCTCATAACTGCGTCGTCTCCTCAGCCCCAAGGTTTACATATATCTGAGAAGCTCCTACTTTCTTTCATTGGTCTGAGTCCCTGCTTCAAAACCAAATTTCATCTTACTCAAAGTCCCATTATTTCATTATCTTCTTGAACTGTAGAATTCTGCCACATATTTCAGTAGTTCAGCAAGTTCTTTTTTTCCATTTAAAAGCCATAGGAGTCTTAGCTAGTAGTTTTTGTTGTAGGAGCGGGGGCAAGTAATGGCAAGCTGAGTCGAATGGTGCGCCCACCCAAGCACTCAGGAGACTGAGGCAGGGGTTCCAGGACAGCTAGGGCTGCATAGCAAGATGTTGTCTCAATCAATCAAACAAACAAAAAATCCAAGGAAACAAAAACAAGCAAAGGCAGAACCTTTCCCAAATGATGCCACTGTTCTTTATGGGTAAAAATAACATTACCAAGCTGGACAGTAGTGGTGC